TAAATGTCATTGGTAAAGATTACCCAAATAGAATGATAAATTAAAAAACAAAACAACTTTGCTTATCTTCCTAAAACTAAGAAGTCTCATCATCAAAGAACAGGTGTTTGATTACCAAATGTCTAGGTGTTCTTTAAATCCTATCAAAGCACAGATTCAAACATGGGTAAAAATAATTAGCTATTTTTTCCAGTTGTGGTAGCACATGCCTGTAATTCCAGCATTCTGGATTAGAAGACTAAGCAAGATCCTATGGAATATAACGTTAAACTTTAGGAGAAAAGAAAAACCAGAAGACTGAGCCTCAAGGAAACAAGTTATGACTCGGCTGTACAGCTTACCTAAGGTTGCTGTCCATGAGTGCCTGAAATGGGGAGATAGCAGCTTCGTAATGAAGCCTCTTCTCCCAGGATTTCTCCTCACTTGAAGGTTTCTGCATACAGAGAGCTTGCCTCCAGCTAGCTGGGCCCCCATTGATACAGACGCCCACATAGTTTTACTTCTACAAGTAACTAAACATTTAATATTTACCAGTCACCATTCCCGCATAGTCCACTGGTCAGTGAGTTACTGAGTCTCATGCTATGGTCAGTTCTTTAGAAAGAACTCATGGTGTTTAAAAGGTGGACACTGAGGCTGGAGAGATGTCCCTGGAGTTTAGAGCACTCAGAGGACACGGGTTCAACTCTCAGCACCCACATGGAATCCATCCTGACTTCAGTTCTTTTTAGTCTTTCATTATTTTCTTAATGTGTTTACTGTGTCACATACTATGGGATCATGGCTATTCAAGACAAGGTCTACATTGTCAAAAATCACAGTATTTTATCCAGACCTTTCTTTCTTCACTCCTGCCTTTCCTGCCTAACCACTCTAACTCATAATAATTGTTTATTTAAACATTAAAATGTCTTAGTAGCTGAAGAGACAGTTCAGAAGGAATTTGTCTATCAGACTGGCAGAGATGGTTCAGTGGGTAAAAGCAATTGGGTAAAGGCAATTGCTGCCCAATCGTGGCCACCTAAGAAAAACAGACTCCACAAAGTTACATCATAGCTTGTGCATTTATACACACACACACACACACACACACACACACACACACACATCAATATACACAATAATAATTATTATAATAAATAAACACAATTAGAAAATACAAATAATTTGCCTAGTATGTATGAGGTACTGAATTTGATCTCTGGGATAAAAACAACAACAAAATCTTCCATCCGAATTGATATTGAAACCAAGTTGTCGGACATAAGCCATTGTAGTTGTAGATACCATGGGCCTTTGTATACAGTCTGGGGATAGATAGAAAGATAAAGTTAGGGGAATATATGAAAGGAAGAAAGCCCATCCCTCTGCTCCCTACCTGAACTACCATGTCTCTTGCTGACAGAGACAAAAGTTTTGACCTAGATGTCTGGGAACTTACTTATCCAGAAAGCATATACAAAAAATTATATTATCTCCATAAACTAGTATTATTAGCTAGCAAACTATACTCCGGGTTAAAAAAAGAAGCAATTTAATCTCTTTTTTCTGGAAGGTCAACTAGGGCCACACATATTACACATTATGGCAAGTATCAATCACTGAACTATGTCCTTAATCTTTCTTTCCTTTTCTTTCTTTCTATTTGTGTGAGCATGTATCAGAGAAGGAGCGGGAGGACTTTAAGTTGCCCAGGCCAGCCTTGAATTTGTGATATCCTACCTCAGGCTCTTGGGTAGATGGAAGTACATGCCTGCACTATTGGGCCTGGAATGATCTACGATCTTGTCTTAATCATGTTTCTTTCTCATATGTAGCCTGCTAGTGCAGTCATACACCATCTTAAATTTTCACCTATATATAAAGTATCTTTCCATAAGGAAATCAATATAGCCACACATTTTTCTCTCAGCCTTATAGATCACAGGTAACATGAAAAATGAAAATCCAGAAATTGACACTGGCTTTCAAGCTTCACGCTGAAGATCAGAAAAGCAAAGCAGCCAGCCACTAGCTCTTATCTCTACCTCAGACCAAAATGGATGATCCTGTCTCCATGAATCCTCAGAGTGCACTGCTCTCCACCAAACCTCAGACTGCAATCCCAGACTACTATGCTCTCCTCAAAGTGGCTGGAGACCAAAATGCCCCAGACTGAATATCTTCTCCTATCTTATATACCTCAAGGGCCGGGATTAAAGGCATGTGATCCCAAGAGCTGAGATCACCTTTGTGTGAGATGTTTCCCTTTAGGACTGGATCAATTTCATGTAGCTCAGTGTGGCCTTGAACTAACAGAGATCCATCTGCTTGTCTCTTGAGTTCTAGGATTAAAGGTGTGTGCTACCATCACCTGGCTCTATAGCTAACTGGTATGGATGCTGGAATTAAAAGTGTATATCACCACTGCCTGATTCAATGGCTTGTGGCTAGTTTTGCCTTCTGAACCCTCAGGAAAGCTTTATTAAATCACAAATATAATCACAACCACACCCTTTAACAAAATAATGACAAACTCCCCAAATCACTCACATAGCTAACTGCTTCAGAAGCTATTAGGTGCCTTCATCTCTTAGACCTTAGTAGCCACACTTGTTTCCCATTGCCTATGCCTTTCTCCTATAAATAAACTAATTTTGATACACTGTACTATGAAATTCTTTTCTTGCAGTGTAGTTTAAGAATCAGGGCTACCGGGTGCTGGAATTAAAGACATATGCCACCAAAAAAAAATCAGGGCTATACCCAAGTAAAGCCCTCTGAGACTCTGGAGAGAGTGCCTCAGGTCACACAGCTGGTGATGTTGAGCTGTGTTTCCTGATGATAGTGATGGTCTTTGTTGTAATTTTTAAAAAACAGCACATGAAATATGCTAGGCGACAGAGTTCAAGTTGAGGGATTTTTTTAATTAGGGGAAATGAATCATAAATGGGGGAAGGGGAGCAGGGAGGCTGGCCTCTGGGGACAGCAGGAGAGAGGAAGGAGAGGCGTGGGGGGGTGGACAGAAAGACAGACAGAGAGAGAGGAGAGAGAGAGAGAGAGAGAGAGAGAGAGAGAGAGAGAGAGAGAGAGAGAGAGAGAGAGAGAGAGAGGAGATGGGCAGGGCCCTTTCAAAAGGGAACATAGTGAATAGGCACAGGTGGTGCTCTTAGTGGCTGCAGCTGAGGGTGTAGCCTGTCAGAACTCCAAGGGCATATCAGTACATATGCTGAAATACTAACAGTATTAAATAGGTTTTCAAGTGTTTCATGGAAGACTTTCCCTTGAAGCCGATTATTAAGTTGCTTAGGGGCAAAAGTTAATGTCTTTTCTGTCTCCCAGAGTTGATTCTGAACATCATTTTCCTAGTTAAGTGTTACTATTGCTGTGATGAAACACCATGACTATAAGTAAGTGTTATGTTTGGGATGGAAAAGGCTTCCCGGGTATAACCACTCTGCTAGGACAGGAGAGGGTTTCCCCAGCTCCAGGGAAAGGCTTCTCCAGTGTAACAGCTCTGCTCAGGTAGGGGAGGGCTTCCCCAGTGAAAGTTGTTACAGTTCTGCTCCCCAGAGTTTAACAACTCTGTTTCCCTAGGTCACCACCCAAACCTCATTCAAGAGATTTATTGGAAGGGAAGAGTCCAAGTCAGTGGCTGCCTCTGTCAAGGTTGAAGAAGACAGTAACAAACTGAACAGGCACAGGATTTATATAGGGCTTCTTAGGAGCAGAGTTTTTCCTGGAGAAGATTTCTAGTGTGGGAATTGGTCAGATTTCAGTCCCTGAGCTAAGACTGGCTAGATCTTGTGTTCAGGGATTGGTTGGCTTTCTGCTTAGTTGGCCACAAGCAGATTTGTCTCTGGTTTCAGGGCCAAAGTGTGTTTTTTGTTTTGTTTTGTGTTGTTTCACTTGCCCATTTTAGCCTTTTGGCTTTAATTTCGAGGCCAGGGCATATTTCTTCCACTGATTCTAGGGCCAAAGTGCATTTTGTTGGCTCTTGTTTCAGGGTCAGAGTACATTTCTTTAGCTCTGGTTGCAAGGCCAAAGTGTGTTTCCGTAGCTGGCCCTTTTTCCCTAAACGACTAAAAGCAAGTTGGGGAGGAACAAAGGGTTTATTTGGCTTACAATTCCACATTGTAGTCCATCACTGCGAGAAGTCAGGACAGGGACTCAAACAAGGAAGTACCTGGAGGCATGGGGCTGATGAAAATCCCATGGAAGGGTGCTGCTTATTGGCCTGCTTTCCATGTCTGCCTTCTAATAGAACCCAGGACCACCAGACTGGGGGTGGCACCACCCACGATGGGCTGTGACCTTCCACATCAACTACTTAGTAAAATAATGCTCTTCAGGCTTGCCTATGGCCCATTCTTATGGAGGCGTTTTCTCAGTTGTGGCTCCTTCCTCTCAAGTGTCTCTAGCCTGTATCTAGTTGACATTGTTCAGCACAATCGTCATTGAATATTCTCACACATTTGACTCTTGTAGATTGCTTGTATGGCCCTGGGAATACAAAATACTTCCCCTAACAGACCTACAAATTTAACACAGCAAACTGTAGTTTTGACATATAAATACAATGAGATGTTGCATATGGATGAAAAAAAGACGGACTAAGGTGCTAAGCAATAAACAGACGCTGGGCTCGGAGGTCTGAGCACTCTTGGAAATTCTGGTAATTGGGATGCAGTTCCACGAGGGACAACCCTGTCCTAACCCCACAGGATCATCTGTAGAGGCCTTGGTGACAGAATTCTCAAGAGGAATGAATGAGTGGTGTCGAATGCCTCACAAATGTAGCCTAATTGGGTACCTTCACAGGGTCGTGCGTGTGTGCAGTATCGCACACGTTGTTATGTTGTTCCGCGATGTGTTATGTTAACGAATATGTCACAGTTTATGATTAAAACATACAACAGAGAAGCCAAGAGGGCGTTGCGTAACCAGGAACCATGGTACGCAGCAGTCCCACCACCCACTCGGCTCCCCCTGCAAACGCGCCGGAGGGGAGGGGTTTCCGCTTCCGGCGGCGGATTGTTGACGCCCGCCACTGCTGTGGTGGCTACGGAGAGGTCGGGGAGGAGCTGCCGAGGGAGAGCGACGGCGCAGTGACAGGCAGCGCGGGGGGTGCCTCCGAGGCGACGATGGCAGAAGGGCCCGAGGAAGCCCGGAGCCGCCCTCCCGGCCAGGACGGCGGCGGCGGAGATCACGAGCCGGTCCCTTCCGGGCCTGGCTCTCCCGCCGCGGCCGCCCCGGGGCCCCCGACCCTCGCGACCGTCGCCCCGGCCGTCTCGGAGCCGGAGCCGCCGCGAGAGCTCCGGAAGCGCCGGGAGGCGGCCTCAGGGCCGCAGGAGCCGGGGGGCTGCGAGGCGTCGGACGGGCCGGGGCGCCTGAGCGCGCGCGAATACTCGCGGCAGGTGCACGAATGGCTCTGGCAGTCCTACTGCGGCTACCTGACCTGGCACAGCGGCCTGGCCGCCCTCCCCGCCTACTGCGGCCCGCCGCCGGCCGCCCCGCAGCCCGCAGCCCCGCCGCCGCCCCCGCCGCCGCCGCCGCCGCCGCAGCTCGCCTACTACAACCCCTTCTACTTCCTGAGCGCCGCGGGGCCCGGGCCGGGGGCGGCCACGGGCGGTGCCAACCCGACCGCCGTCGCCACGGGCCTGACGCCCCGAGCCCCGCAGGTGCAGCCGTCGGGCCGGGCGGCCCCCGTGCCCAGGGTAGGCTCCGCCGCCCCTGCACGCACGGCGAGCGACGCCGGACGGCAGGCGGGTGAGAACCGGGCGTTGGGTGGGTGAGGTCTAGAAGGGGCGGAGTAGAGGGTTCTATTCGTTTTGACGTTTAGACCCGGATTCGTACGGCCCTTGTTGAGTCTTTCTGCCTCCACTTCCCGTGTGTGAGCGTTACTGGTGACTCACGGCCCTTAAAGTTACCGCTACTTCTGGACTATTCTTTTGGAAGGATTTCACCTTGTAGTCCAGGCCAACCTTAACTCACTATGTAGCCAGGTTAGCCTCGAACTGGCAATAAGAATTGTGTCAGCCCACAGGGTCTTACGTGCCTTGGCAGAGGGGTCTCTTGAAGGAGTGACCATTGGGCAAGTATGCTCTCTCTTGAGATGTGTAACTGAGGCTGCTACTACTACTGACAGTTTCCACACACCTCAGCTATGGTTTGCCCAGGCCTTAAGTTCCAAATCTGTACTGTGAGACAATGCCAATTGTTCTTCCCTTAGACCTGGCACTACCAGTAGATTCCCTTACTGCTGGCACTCCTCCTTCCCGTGTGTAGAGACCTACACTTATCAAACCGTCCTCTCAGTGATCTCCGTGCTCTGGGAAGGAAGATCCCAGGCTAAACTCAGGGTTGCAAACCCACTGTTGGAGGAGCGACACTAGAATACTAGACTTGGACTTGGGCCGTGTAAGGACAGTGGAACTGAAAGGACATTGACGTGAATACAAATAGAGTAACAAGCTTCGGCTGGACCCTAGCTCATTGATCTTGAGAATCATCTCATTGTTTGATTCTGTGTAGTAACTAGAATCTTACTGTAGCAAAACTTGCAGCCATTCTCCTGCCTCTGGGTCCAGAGTGTAGGATTACTGGTATGGTTCACCATGTCCAGCTCATTAGATATTTTAGTAACATGTTCTCTTGATGGAGTCATTGCCATTGGCTACTGCAAGGCTGTAAGTTTTTTAAATTAAGTTGAACCTTGACTTGACTTTGCCCCTCCATTGTCTGGCTTGTGTTCTTAAGCCTGTGTTAGTGATTCATTTTCCTTTTTTACCCCCCTAATTTACAGGCAGAGAGTATATCATTCCATCCTTGGCGCACAGATTTATGGCAGAGATGGTGGATTTCTTTATTCTCTTCTTTATAAAAGCGACCATTGTCCTGAGCATTATGCATCTCAGTGGAATAAAGTAAGTTCATGATCATAGCAAAGTCTGGAGCTGCTACCTAGACATCTTGTTTGTAAAATCTGCTCGTGCCCATGACTGACTCTGGGTGATGAGTGCCCAGGGCCATGATTTGTCCATGAAATCTTCTAACAGATTTATTTGTTTCCTTGTTTGCCTTTTTGTTTTCCTTTCTAAACTTTTAAAAAAGCTGTGTGTTTATCTACTTGTGAAAACCAGGAGGTCCACTTTGGGTGTCTTCTGCTCTCTACTGTTTTTTGGGGGTAGGATCTCTCACATAACCAGGGGCTTGTCATTTCAGATAGACTGGCAGCCATCAAGTCCCCAAGATCCACTTGCCTCTACACCCCCCCCCATGCTACATAGGTATATGGTATCTTGGCTTTTAGATGGGTTCTAGGGACTCAGGTCCTGATGTTTGTACAAGCAGTTTACTCACTGAGCAATCACCACAGGCCCCTTGTTAGTTTAAGAAACAATATGTTCTTTGAGATCTGTAGGAAATTCTATTGATAGCACACACCTTTTAACCCCAGCACACAGTAGGCAGAGGCAGGCAGATCTCTGAATTCAAGGCCAGACTCCAGACCTGGCTTGTTTCTATTAACCATTCTCTTTGCCTGGGAATTTATTGGTTTCCTTCTTATTGGCCTACTAAATTTCTAACATGAAAGCACAAAGAGGGGCTGTTCAGTGGTTGAGTATCCACTGCTTGTGCAGAGGTTCCAAGTTAAGTTCCCATGTCATAACTACCTGTAACTCCTGCTTCAGGGATCCAACCCCCTCTTCTACACACACATGGCATATGTTTGTAACAAGTATACACACACAACATATAATTTCTTTCCAAAGCACAGAGATCCTGTGGTAGATGAACTCTCTGTAATCAATTAGTGGCATCTCAGTGGGGTTGCATACAGTTCAGCAAAGTCCACTCCACTACCAAGTGTGGCATCTACTTGAGAAACTCAAAAGTCTTAGGATAATGGCTGTTATCATTTACTTGGCATTTTCTATTTGCAAAACTTTTTTGTTAGCCTTAGTATCATGAGGTAGACACTGGGTGGGTTTATGAGATGTTAAGGCCAGAAAGCGGGGAGGGAGTAGTAAGTCAAGTTGTTAAACCTTAGAGCCCTTGTCAGATGTTAATCTGATTCCTTCCTATCCCACCCACCCCCCTAGCCTTTTTTTTTTTTTTTACATTTTTATTTATTTGGAGGTCAGAAGATGATTTGTAGAACTTGACCTCTCCAGCCTTAGCACTCTGCTGTAGTTTCTTTTGAAAAGTCTGAATTTCATGACATGGACTAACATGCCCACAGTCTTAATCTCAGTCTCCACACACAGAAATTGAAGCCCTATCACTTGCTCCAAGGCTCTCTCCTACCTGCCAGTCTTCTCAAGGCTATCTTCTGTCCTCTTGGTCTAGCTGGCTTCTCATCAATCAGTTTTTGTGTTGTAAGTTTCATTTCAGAGAAGTCTGCACATGAATCAGTGTAACTGGTTTGATTTCTGCGGTGCTCTGATTTCCCGACAAAATTGACATCCCTGTTTATTACTATTCTATTTTCCTTGCTAGGTTAGAATCTCAGTGAAAGCTGAGATGTTTAGCATCCTCTTGTCCTAGTCTGCCTTCTGTTGCAGTGATAAACACCATGATCAAAAACAACTTTGGAAGAAAGGGTTTATTTCATCTTATAGCTTGTAGTCCCACTGAGGAAAGTCAGGACAGGAACTCAAGGCAGGAACTGAGGCAGAAGCCATGGAGAAATGCTACTTGTTTGTTTACCCTACTTTCTTACAGTACCCGAGGATGGTACCAACCACAGTGTGCTGGGTCCTTTTACATAAATCAGTAATCAAGAAAATACCTCACAGACTTGCCTACAGGCCAGTCTGATGGAGTCATTTTCTCAATTGAGGTCATTTTCTCAATTGAGGTTCCCTCTTTCCAGGTGACAAAACCATTCACCATCATGCCCTCAGGGCTGGCATCTTACCTGTTCTACAGTATTCTACCACTGAGTCACAAACACACCCACAAGGGCGGTGGTAGCGCACGCCTTTAATCACAAACACACCCACAAACATAATCACACCTTTTGCTTTTATTTACTTATTGCTACTTATTGGATAAACTCATGGGTATTTTGTGCAATTAGATGGAGAACCTAACAGCTTAGAATTTCATTTGAAACTGATGATTTACACTAATCAGGAAAAAACTGACCTGGTAACTAATTCCATACAACCACAAACCCTTCCTTTTGTGCAGGGACATTTCTAAGTTTGCCATGCATTATATAATAGAAGAAATAGATGAAGACACATCAATGGAAGACTTGCAGAAAATGATGATTGTGGCACTGATATACAGGCTGTTAGTGTGTTTCTATGAGGTAAGCTGCTGACTGAAGCAGTTCTGCTTTAAAGGTATAATTTTAGATTATCTACCAAGAAAAAGAGAATTTCTCAAACGTTTCTTCATATTTGTATTTTTTCAAAATTAACACTTTCAAGTAAAAAAAAATTTAAATTTTGGAAAGGACACAGTAATTACTTTGTTATGCTTCTCAGGTTTAGAAATAATACATTCTTAGCCGGGTGGTGGTGGCGCACTTTTAATCCCAGCACTCGGGAGGCAGAGGCAGGCGGATCTCTCTGGTCTGCAAGAGCTAGTTCCAGGACAGCCTCCAAAGCCACAGAGAAACCCTATTTCGAAAAACCAAATATATATATATATATTTTAAGTAGGTTTTGGTTGTAGAAATAATGTATTTTTCCCTATGAAAAAAACTTCATATAATAGAATGAGCCAGCCAGGCGTTGGTGACACATGCCTTTAATCCCAGCACTCAGGAGGCAGAAGCAGGCAGATCTCTGTGAGTTCGAGGCCAGGCTGGACCAACATCCTCCAAACCCTGTCTTGTAAAACCAAAAAAAAAAAAAAAAAAAAAAAAAAAAAGAATGAGCCAAAATAGGATAATTTTGCATTTTGAACATATTAAAAGACTGTAAAAATTCATTGGAGAGGGGTGGGTACTGGAGATCAAGCCCAGAGCCCCACACATGCTAGGCAACCACGTTCATTGAACTATATCCAAGCCTCCTTCCTTTCTTGGTGTGTTCTGAGGGCAGATCTTGAATGCACTTGAACTTAAGTGTTTTCTTTGCCAAGACAGGGCTTCATTATGTAACCTGGCTGGGTCCCAAACTTGCCAGTCATCTTCCCCAGCCTCTGGAGTTCTGGGATGGCAGTCATGTGCTACCAGCTAGTTAAACTGTTAGGTCTCAAGTATTCTATCTAGTTGGCACATCAGTGTAACTTTCTTTTGAGACAGGGTCTCACCTTGTAACCCTGTCAGGCTTGAACTAGCTGTACACACCAGGCTGACTTTGAACTCAGAGATCCCACCTGCCTCTGTGCTGGGAAAAAGGTGTGTGCCACACTTGGCCCTCCAACGTGACATTTTTATAAAGAATGAAATGATGTAATAGAAAAAAAACTAAAGATCTTTAAAATTGGTTTAGTAAATTATTTTTAAATTATCCTTCTTTCCTTAGATAATTTGCATTTGGGGAGCAGGGGGAGCTACTCCAGGAAAGTTCCTGCTAGGGCTTCGAGTTGTGACATGTGATACATCGGTACTAATTGCTCCAAGTCGGGTTTTAGTGATTCCTTCCTCAAACGTTAGCATCACAACGTAAGTCCTTTGTTTATATTAACCTACTACTTAAAAAAGAATGTAAAGTCATCTTCTACTGCATAATGATGTCAGTCACCTGTATAGTGTGATTAAGATGCTGCTGCATATTGACTTTGAAGTGTCTTAAGTTTGTGAAAGTACACTAATTTTTCATTCTTAGGATCATTCCTCAGAATATTCCTCAGAAGTAAGTCCCTCATAAGTGGCACAGGATTGTACTCATTATTCCTGGTTACAGTGTGTTGAAATACTGTAATTATATGGACTTACATGGAAGTTTTTATGTCTCATTGCCTTTGGCATACATATTCAAAATGATTATGAAATGTCTCACAATGATAAGATACTCAGTGCTCTGTGAACTACCCACCACAACCCTATCCTGACTCCAGCTCTTAGCTGTAGAGCCCATAGTGCCTGTACTCTTCATTGATGGCCTCTGGCATGCGGCTTCAGATAAGGGTGCAGGGTTGGGGAAGTGAATAAGCTGTGATCAACTGAATCAAACAAGATTTGCCTGTGAATACAAACAGGCTTCAGAAGCAAGCTAGACTTTACTGGTATATGCCTACTGAGTTACAGCTTTGTGTTTTTTAATTTTGACTACTTGTTTTGCTTTTTCCGGAGAGTTAGTGTGTAGCCCTGTCTATCCTGGAACTTGCTCTGTAGGCCAGACTGGCATTGGCCTGCCTCTTCCTCCGAGTACTGGAACTACAGGGGTGTGCCACCACTACCCAGCTCTGGCTACTTTTAATGAGTCGATAATAGTGTTTATTGAGCACTTCTCAGATACCAGGCATTTTAGTAATTTAACACAGCATTTTGATCTCATGATCATAGTCACGAAGCATAACTAGTAATTAGAAAAAATGTGGAACTAGAATCCGTAGTTCTAGCCACTGACAGAAGAAAGTTAACACTGTTAAGATAATTCTCTATCTTGAACTATTGTAGTTTTTAAGACTTCTTTTAATTACTGGAGCCCATACAGGAGAAAATGAATAAAAGAACAGATTGTATTTCAGATAAAATAGAAAGTAGGACTGCAGTAAGCATACCCAGTTCAGAAGATTCTAGAAACCCATGGGAAAATGTGACTATGGAAAAGGTAAGCAAAGGGAAGATGTTTTCTTCTGAAAAACTAGAAAAGTGCTGTGTGCTGTCTCCTTGTTGATGTTCTCAGATGCACGTCAAAGTTGTAGTCTTCTATGTAGTTTTCTTTAGTAAAGTAGGTAGTTTGACTATTTTGTTTGAAAAATTCTGAACTGTGTTCTGAAGGTTATAAACATCAACAAGATACCTAAGTCAGCAGTGACTGATACAATCTGACTTGCTACTTCTGCTTGCTTCCTTTAGGTCCACCATACGAGCTTTGATCAAGAATTTTTCTATTGCTTCTTTTTTCCCTGCTTTCATCACACTGCTGTTTTTTCAGCATAATCGAACAGCCTATGACATTGTGGCAGGAACTATTGTGGTAAAAAGAAATGGGGTCAGATGATGCCCCAGAGCCCTGAATTCCACTCTTTGGAATAATAATGACAAGACTAAATTATGTATCAAGGCCATCAGTATCTCTAGGTTACATTAATTGCTGATTTAAAAATTAGAGAAGTCACTACAGTGTGACACGCGACTATTCTGAAAGTGTTGACTGTACTTAAATGTCAAGGAACTTTTCCAAAAGGAAAACCTATTAAACTCAAGTGTTAACTATTTGTAGGACAACAAAGCAGATGGTTTTAATCAACATAGACAAATACATACTTTCACATTTAACATAACCAAAATCTGCTGGAAGCATTTCAGCTTTAAATTCTCTCATTTTATTGTGGCTTATCCTAGAATGATTAAAAAATGTCCAGTTGTGTTTTATAAACACCTACATACATATAATTCCCACAACTCTTCTTACGGAAGTTGTTTTCTGTGGACACTGAGAAAGAGCATCAACTCAACAACCCACTGGCCCCGTGGCAGGTGTTGGAGAAAAGGGCTAGTGAGGAAGGCCTAGCAGTCTCCTCACCTCATGCTTCCAGGATGTTCTAGAAATCACTGCAGTAGTGGTGGAATTTTATAGCTTCTTACTGCTTAAGTATTTGGAGGCAAGAACTTTCATGATGATGATGAAAATGTATTAAGTCTTATCATTGATACTTAAAAAAAAAGGTAAGTTAATGATTGCCTTTTGTGGGGGTGGGGTGGGAATGTGAATTTTCAGTGTAAATTCAGCTTAGACTTTGTGTCTTAAAATCCAACTATAAATATGTGGGGGAAACATTCAAACATTCCCAGTGTGTGCTCCAGTGTTCTGAATGTACCTGTAGATTCTATTTCTGTACAAACAAACTCCTAAGGCACTATATTCTATACAGTTCCATGAATGTCAAAACCTCAAGGTATTAGTCTTAGTATTTTGTAACTCTAAATACTAGCAGCCTGTGAAATATTAGCCGTTTTCCATGCTTTTTCTCTCTAAAGCAAGGCAGAGTATCATCTCTGTACATTATTCTGGCTTCTTTAAGCTCCTTTTGGGCCTGCTAGAGATGAAATTTCGGGGGAAAATGTGTATAGTCATTGTACTTCGCTCTGTTGGTACATTATCGGCTTATGTCTGTTTGTTTTTGTTGTATCCCAGTTAGCTAGCTGTATGGAAATGTACCACATTGTTTTATAGTTTAAACTTCCTTACTTGTTCTTGTATATAATTTTCCTAAGAAACACTAAATTGTATTGCACAAGAGATCAGTCTTTGTTCCTGGGTTTTAAATAAGCCATGTGTTATTACAGTATCAACTTTCAGTGGGCTTTTCTTTGACATTTAAAACTGTGAGAATGTATTTAATGTCTATAGACACTAAGAATCTACTAGCTTATTGTAGGAGTTCATAAACCATGGCTTTTCAAAATAATTCTACTTAAATCCAACTTCACAGAAAGCCTATTACTTGTCAAGAGCAGTAGGTAGAGCACTTGTGGCCCTGGCAAGATTTCATGGTTCTTCAAACATACACTACAAATCAGGAAACTGGTGTGAACACTACTTTTGCCACTGATGAGGGAAGTCACATTGAAATGTGCTTCACCCATACAGCTCTGGAGTATTTGATTATTGTTTCCTACTCAGATTACTGTAGTTTTCATTGAGGGTATTTTTTATTTATACAGTAAAATAAACAAGTAGTTAATTTGTTATAGTTTAAATACTGCAATTTGCTATGAACAGGTTATTTAGATCCATTTAGATCCAGCTGTTGATTCAAGTTGTGCCATACAGGATGTAAAAGTATTGCTTTGCCTCTGCAATAAATCCTCAATCTGTTATAATCAGCACTTAAGGAAAGAAATCTCAAGAGTTGAAATAAAAAGGAGAAAAGGGAACCTGCCATGTGTTTTCCTTGTAAAATGGAGACTCCTTCACAGAATATGAGTATATTCAGTTATAGAAATACTGATTTCCTGTATCTCATTCTGAAGCCATATCCTATAAAAAGGCAAACTGAAATGAGAAATGAAGATATTCTTTAATGAGCATGTATACCCTAAGCTGAAACCACCTTAAGACTAGAGTCTTGTTGCTGTATTACCATTCAGTCCAAACAACTGGGAAGAGGCTTAGGCAGTGATTCAGTCTCAGTACCCATCATGGAAAGTATTCTGGTATGGCTAGATCTTGGAGTAGGATGTTAACAGTGCAATGACAAACTTTACTTTAACCGAGCTTCTGTGGCCATAAACACATGCCATTTGACAGTATTCTAAAGCACTGCCCAACTTCTCTAGCATTGGCTTAATTCTCCCTACATGGTACTTACCTTCTCCAAGGCGGCGTCCTAGTTGATGGCCATTTTGTCCACGCCTTAAAAAATAATTCTTCATTTTTAACTTTTAAAAGAATTTGTTCACATCAATGATTTGAGTGTTTCATTTACATGCCTATTTCTGGCAAAGGAAAGGAGTTAAATTTTTGCATTTGCTACTTAGAAGATGGGGCAATTAAAAGTTTCTCATTGTTCCTTTAAGGACAATGCCCAAACTAACAGTATTCCTAAACTTCTGACAAGTACTTTGAGCTTCTTGCAATCCTCCATTATGTAACCAAAGACCAGTTGTTACTTGTGCCTGGGTGAAGTTCCTTATTTCATCTGTTATGTACAGATTTCCTTGTAGTTCATTATAGTGGGGCTTGCCCTGCAAACAGTATCTAAAGACCAACCTATAAATAAAACTCAGCATTCTATTTTTAATATTTGTATGTCATCAGTTTGTATTGTTTGTCTCAATAAATATGTCAACAGTGCTATCTGTGTTTGCCTATTTCTTTGACAAGTTCTACTAAGAAAACAGCTGGGCAAAGTAGTTAAGAGTAGGCTGGTTTAACCCACAGAAACAGTTGACCTCAACAAGGGGGAGATCTTGACTCCAGATTTGATGGTTGTGTGGAAAGCATGGGACTGACCCAGATCCCCTGAATGTGGGTGTCAGTGAGGAGGCCTAGGTAATCTATGGGGCCTTGGGTAGTATTTATCTCTGGCGTACAAATAGACTTTGAGTGCCCATGCCACAATATGGGAGGTTCTCTCAGCCGGGACTCTTGGGGAAGGGCCTAGGCCCTGCCCTGAATGAAATGACAGTTACTGGAGATCCACCATGGAGGGTCTCACCCTCCTTGGGGATGGGAGTGGAGATTGGGTGGGGGACATGGTGGGGAGGAGGTGAGGGAGAGGGAGCTGAGATTGACATGTGAAACAAGACTGTTTCTAACAAAAAAATAATTCTTAAAGTTAAAAAAAAAAAAAACAGCAACAGCAGTGTATCGAACTAATAGGGCTGTGGTTCAGTGATCTAACACTTGCCACAAATAAGACCCTGCACTATCTAAACACTGATAAAAAATGCATTTATGTTTAAGAAGTACAAGTCACCTGCACATAAGCTTGCCTTCAGGTTAAACTCAATGGTAGATACTTAGAGCCTTTAGTCATTACAACAACAATCAGATGACCAGCTCTAAACTTAGCCTTAATGGGAAAAGCTTTTTATAAACCAGTCCATATGGACTTCCTTTCCTCAAGAAAGTCAGTTACTTGATTGTGGACATGTTAACTGTAAACTCATGAGGCTTTTAATGCCAGCCTGGGCTACAGTGTATGACCCTATTAAAGGGTGTGTGTGCAAACTTCATGTAATGCAGCCTGATCAAAGTGTTGCTCCAGACAATTTACTATTCCTAAACCAAGCTATCTGAGGACTACAATGGATTTTGGAGTAAAAACCCAAGGGAGAGGGGGGCACAGCCCCGTTATTACAGAGACATGAGGATTAATGACATAATTGGTCATATAGTTGTTATCTCGAAGATTTTCACCACCCTCATTTTTCAGGGTCACTATAGCAAGCAGTTTTCACTAAAGATGTCACCCTTTATGAAATTTCTGTTAAATCACTTCTTGGCCTTTGGACTATATCAAGTGTCTGTTCAATCCCGGCCAATCCAATGAAGAGTTTACTAATGCTGGGCTGGAGGAGGGACAGGTCCAGAGATGGAGTGGCGGAAAACTACATGCAGCCCAAGAGTCAAGTCTCTAGAGCCGAACAGTCTTACAGACTCTGGAAAACCTAAAGATCTCCCTCCAATTTTCATATACACCAGCCTTAGTATGACTTTAGTATGCTTTTAAAAAGGGGGAGTGGTGGGAGATACTAAAAGCAAAATTATTTCCTATATATTTCAGAGAAAAGGAGTAATCCCTATTAAGCTACAATTATTTGGATCTAGACAATGGCTAAGAACTGGCGCCAAGATCTCTGTGAGGTCAGACAACCCAAATACCTCTTCCAATATTCACCAGCAGATTTCAAACAGGCTTAAGTTGTCAGATAAATATTATTAAAGAGAATATCAGAAAAATAAAAGGCTCTAACCTCAAACCAGTATGTGATGATGGCCTAAGCTATCTTAATAAGGAAAACATCTTTTTGTGAGGACAAAGCATTAGTAATTATCAATATAAATTCAACTAAACTGAAATGTGGCAAGTTAAGCACAAACTAACAATAAATGCCCATCCTAATTACATTAAAGACGAAAGTATGAAGTGCTGGCCCAAGAGTTTTCCTGGATCTTTAAGTGAGCAAAAACTCTAGTTATACAACGCAGTAAAAGGCCCATTACAGTTTTATGAACTTTTGAATGCCTGAGGCATATATCTCCAATAATGTGAGCAATAAACATTGTCTAGGTAACTAACAGGGAAGGCTAGGAGTACAAACAAAAAGGGTTGTGTTTATTTTTAACGTTTAAAAGTGCGCTATACGTATATATTAAAGATAGCAGAAAGCAGGGCTCTGCTCTTGGGCCTTGTTTGATTATACTCTTTGAGATTTCTAATCAACCCTTTCCACTGACACTGTGTGCCTTCACTATGAGAACTGTTAAAAGAAACGTGCTTCATAAAGTTTTATTGATGGCATTTATCCCATGGTTTAACATGTTAATTATACTGTAATAAACATGGCTTTAATATTAAACTTTTCCTTATTATCCAAAGTCACCACAGTCCATTTCAGTAAATATAAAAATATATGCTTAATACTTTGTACAATACTGGTTTTTGGTCCAAACAAAACTGGATCAGAAAAGCCAATAAATTCAACTTTAAGAATCCCCAATTTTTTTAACGATTTCCAAATGGATTTAGGCAACTTTGAATAATGGGATTTACATAATAAAATCTGAGACAAGACTAAACAAACAACAAAAATATGTCTAACACAAAATTAAAATTTCAAGTTCACAGATTTATGTTATGCCAAAAGTACAGAAACAATATTGTATTTACAGAAGTTTCATAATAAAATAATGAAAAAGGCAAGACAGTCAATAGAATGAAAATATAGAAATAGCATATACTTATTAAATGGAGAATGAACTAGATCTAACAAGTCCTTAGTATGGACCATTCTTTAATCAGGCTTTCTCTATCAGAATTTTTCTGTGCACAATACATCCAACTCACTTCACACATACACCACCACAAACTCCGCATAGAAACCATTCATTTCAAAGTCCTCTAATCTATACAGGATTCTAATCTATACAGAATTCCCAAGATATAATTACAATTTCAATGCGTTCCATTAACGCTTTATCAACGCACATAGCGGTGCAGACAGGATCTATACAAAGCCATTCACCGTGCAGGCTCTATTCCTGGGTACAGCCAGACTATGCCAATCAGTGAATTATGTGCTGGATCATAAAATGTTTCTGCTGAAGAATCAGTTATCAGTCTAGCTATTATTTTCAAAAGAGAATGGGATATGGGAATGGTATTTCCATAAAGAAAAATGGACAATTCCAAAATTAAAGAAGTCCTTAGACAGATCTGACTTCAGATAAACCCAGCATGTAGTACAATCCAGTATCTGAAAGCAGGCACCAGCTGTTGATAAAACTGTTGGGTATAACACCTTTGTGACCTTTATTTCCTGCGTCTAACAGCAGTCTTTATCTTGCGACCAGAAACTGAAGTTCCGGAAGAAGAGAACATATTTTTCCCATTTGACCTGTAAAAAACACAACATTATAATGTGACAGGATGCTCAGGACAATCACAGGACTCATAACCGCTTAACATGACCAGCAACAAAATGGGGAAGAGAGTTAAGGAAAATGCTGTTGTTAAAAGCAAATGCATTCTGCTCTTCCTGGCATATAGCTCGCTGCTCTTGTCTCAGACTGTAATACAATCCCTATAATTACAATATCATAAGCTGATATTGGATAATATTTACTATTACCCAAACTATATTACTGTCTGATTTACTTTTAGAAACACACACAAAACTTTACCAATGTAAAATCTCGATGAAATATAATCATCTCTTACCCCACTGTAAATGACGCTGGAGACTGGCTGAATTGAAAGCCCCCTGAACCTGAGGGCTGGGCTGAGGCTGCTGGCGTGCTTGGATTTGCACCAAATGTGAACACTCCTGATGGATTATTGTTTGTGAAGTTGAAATTTGTAGTGCTGCTGCCAAATTGGAAAACAGAACCTATACAAATTAAGCAGAAATATCCCATTAATGACACGATGTTAAGATCCATGTTCACCTAAACATATTAAACATGTGAAAAATTAAGATCTTAGCAAGGCGTGGTGATGCACGCCTCTAGTCCCAGCACTCAGGATGCATAGGGGAAAGAATCTCTGTGAATTCAAGGCCAGCCTGGGTCTACAGAGGCAGTTCTAGGCCAGCCAGGGCTACCACAAAAGAGGAGAAATTTTAGAGCACACGTGAGCACTTATATAAGTACAAACACCAGAATACTAGATAAACCTTACAAACTAATAACCAAACAAAACTAAAGGACAAAATACTTAAGAAGAATTCACTAAAATGGAAAATACATAGAAACCAAATATGAGGCTTGTCATCCAGCACTGGCAGCATGTAAACTGGCATACCACAGCAGGATTTATAATAAATACCTTTTAAGAGATACACCTTTCAACTCAGAGTGCATCAAGAGAAACACGTGTGCTCCCCCAAAAGGTTAATATCCTCTACTCTGTAACATGCAAAATAGTATTTCCTAACAGCAAAAACTGACCAACACACAACAGCAAATGAATAGGCTGCCAATCACTCTGCACCAGTGACAAAACCATATGCAACAGCACAACATAGAAAATTTAAGAGTCAAAGAAGCAAGACTGCACACAGCCAAGAGCCCACTTGTACAGATAAGTATCAGGCAAACTATTTTCTAGAGGTATCAGTGAACTTAAACTAGAGTCCAATGGACAGAGAACAATGGTCTGTGATCAAAACGGCCTCTGATCACACGTGGTCTCCAGTTGTCTGTACACACATGCACGCTTCCACACTGTAGGACTCTTTCATGAGATCATAATTCTACTAGAAAGATCAAATGGTGCAATTTTGAGAAAAATGCAGGATTTTTTTGTTTTTTTGTTTTTTTTTTTTTACGAGACAGGGTTTCTCTGTATTGTTTTGGAGGCTGTTGGTCCAGCCCAGCCTCGAACTCACAGAGATCCGCCTGCCTCTGCCTCCCGAGTGCTGGGATTAAAGGCTTGCACCACCACCGCCCGGCACAATGCAGGATTAAAATAGAGTGCAATCTTTTGATGAGAGATATGCAGAGGGAACAGCAGTTTTATTCAAGTGCTGTGAGACAAGTCAGCACAAGTAAGGCCTAACTTCCCAAAGGAAATCAAAACCCTGCTCCACAGAAGCATACAGGGAAACAGAGTGGAAGTCCATAAAAGT